GAGGTAATATAAAACACATAACTACAAATAATACAAAATAAGACGAACACAAACAGTTTAAAGTACATTACATAATATGTTAATTTAACCCAATAAATTAAAATGGTGTTTAAACACTCACGAACACTTACAAATATTATGTTTACCGTTGGACACTTCCTCTTCCATGTTAAAGCCAAATACTCTCAAAGACCACATATTCAACTTAAATACAATTAAACGAATAACAACATTCTATAAAACTAAGAAAAATATGATAATTGCAGTACCCCAACAGTGGCAATTTCTGCAGTAAGTAAACTAATTTAAAAAGAGTACTTGTAATTTAAAAAGAATACATTCATGATTTAAAAATAGTACTTTATTTATTAGTTGTTGGTGGACTAATTAAAGAGATTCGTCGAGGTTATTCAATGAGGTGGTACTATAAAGATTAGCTGTAGTACGGAGATTTTCTAAAATAAAATATTCAGCAATTTATTTCAATTCTTGTCTTAAATTTTGCAGTCATTTTGTACCATAGGTACAAAATATTTGCAATTTCCAAAAAAGAGAGCGTCAATTTATAAGCCCTCAACTTGCTTAAAAAGGATTCAAATTTCCAAGCGGCAGAACGTGTTTTGCAGATTGTATATCATTTTGAATAAAATTAACAGATTGTGTTTTGTAAACTCCTGTAATTATAACACGCAGAATTGTTAGTTCGATAATAAAAAGAGATATTAATAAGTGAACTTGTGTAGTGAAAATGTCACAAACGTCTAATTTAATTCCTGTGAAATTGTCATTTAACCGTGCCAATGAAGTGTTAAATGTACATGATGCTCTTATACATGGACATTTTACAAGTACTATTCAGAGTATAGTTTTTAGTGTTGGTCGGAGTTTGAGAAGCAACTATTTATAGACTTTTAAAGCAACGGAAGACTGAAAGTATTACAGAAGCGCCTAAAACGTCAACAGGAAGAAAACCCATTCATATAGACGATACTGTGAAACAATCAATTCGAAGTAAAGCTCATTCATTTTATTTATAAAATAAAAGATTTCAACTTTTGGATGACAGAAGGATTCGTTTATGAGAATAACAATAGAAAATCTGTGTTCATAGAGAAAGAAGAAAATGTTTTTTGGAGGAGGCAAAATTTAACGGAAAATCGAAAATTAAGGAGAGAAGGCAAAAATATTTTCTATTTAGATGAAATATGGATAAATGAAGAGCATTTTGTAAAAAAAGTTTGGCAAAATAAACTGGTTACAAATGTTCGTTAGATATTTATAGAAGGTTTGTCTGCGTGTTTAAAATTTACGTAAAGGCACACTAAATTGAGAAAGCACGAACTCTTGATTAAACCAAGGGATTGGCACAACCAAAGAAATAGTAGTGCCAGCAGAAGGTTTTTTCAAAAAAGTGTTATTGCAGTTATGCAAACAATATTCACCAAAATTTAAGAAGTAATATAGTGTAGATAAAATGGCAAAAGGATATGGAGTTAAACTATTGTGATTACCACCTTATCACTGTGAACTTAATCCCATAAAATTAATCTTGGCGCAAATGACGGGATATGTCACGAGAAATAATACAACGTTAAACTTCAAGATGTTCGTCAACAATTATCTGACTCCATTCAACAAAAATTTGACAAAAATTTCATCTGACAATTGACAAAAAGCTATAAGACGTATCATGGTATAGGAAGAAACATTCTGGAAACTCGATATGTTAATAAGGGAAACAATAGAACCAATTATTATTTTAGTGGGAAATCAAGAAACTGATGATGATGATGACTCCTCAGTGGCGTACCATTTTTTAAAGTTGGGACCATTGATGGATATAAAATTCTTAATTGTATGGATAAAATGTGCAACAACTACCTCTTAAAACCACAAAATTTCATTTGCATATATCAACCGGTTTGAGAGAAATAAATGAATCGTCTGTTTTTTAGAAAAATTTCAACACCCCTTATCTCGGATCATGAAGAATTGATGGACATACGTTTATATAGCAAACTCTCATTATTTTTTATGCGGATTCACTCCCTAAAGTTTGCTGCACTTATTTACTAACACCCCTGTATATTGTACAAATATGTATTATTCAAATGGTTTAAAAACTGACGCTTTCAAATTCTGTAAGAAAATCGCTGATTTGAATGAAGAAACGATTGATTTCTGAGTCTTGGGAAAATAAGAACTTTTGATCAGCATGGTCAAAGCTACCTCTCTGCAAAGTTTCAGCCAATATAACTAAAACCACTTTTACATAAGAAAAGTGCCTTGGTCATTTATGGCTGGTGAAGAAAGAAGCGATAAAGAAGGTATGAAACTTTATGGATTTACATCAATAACTGCGGTAATAAGGGCTAGACATTGAAGGCCAAATTTTGATTACCATTGAAGATCAATTACGAAGATGGAAAGAATATATGCAAGAATTATTCGAAAATGCAGCACGAAGTCCGACTGAAATAAACAATCCCTACGGCCAGAAATAACAAACGAAGAAGTAACTATGGCCATTAAGCGGATTAAAGTTGGGAAATCACCAGGACCTGATGAGGTGCATGGTGAAAATTTTTAAGCTATTAGAGGCACACCAAATCACAGTTCTTGCGAAACTATTCAACAACAACTACGAGATTGGTTCCTTACCAAAACACTGGCTACTATCAATATTCATTTCACTTCCTAAAAAAGCCAACGCTAGAAAATGTGAAAAACATAGACTAATTAGTCTGATGAGTCATGTACTTAAAGCACTACATACTATCATTCACTTGCGCATATACAAAAAAATAAGAAAAATACCTGAGTGAAGTTCAATTTGGATTCAGAGCAGGACTGGGAACGAGGGAAGCACTTTTTAGTTTGCAAGTTCTAATACAGAGAGCCAGGGATGTCAATTGCGATGTGAATGCATGTTTCATTGATTTCGAGAAGGCATTTGATAAAGTCTCACATGGGAAACTAATCGATATCCTAAAAACATCAGGACTCGATGGTAAGGATGTAAGACTGATCTCAAACTTATATCTCTAACAAAAAGCAACAGTACGATTAGAAAATGAACTGTCAGAGATCTTCTCACAGAAAAGGAGTTAGACAGTGGTGGATACTGTCACTGGCATTATTTAAAATATACTCTGAAAACATCTTTAGAGAGCCCTAGAATGAATGTGAAGATGGGTCAGTAAAAGGTCATTTTATAAACAACATTAGATATGAAGACGATACAGTGTTGCAGACAAACCCTGAAGTGCGCAGGGTCTCCAAAGTATGATCGATAACGTTATAAAAGCAAATACGGCGTAAAACTAAATTGCAAGAATACAAAAATAATGATCATTAGTAAGAACATCGGCATAAACGCCCAAATTACAATAATAGGCGATAAAAACCCGTATTGAAAAAGACCGAAGCTCTTTAAACAGCCTGAGGAAGATTATCTGCAACTTATCTTTAAGTATCAATATACGCATAAGAATGCTTAGATGTTACGTCTTTAGTGTCCTCCTCTATGAAGTAGAAAGCTCGAGACTTACAGAAGATGCCATAAAACTATTGAAGGTATTTCAAATGTGGTGCTACCGACGTACGTTGAGGGTGTCATATATACACCACACAAGTAACAACTACTCTCCAGAAGCTAAGAAAAGACAAAGAAATTATTAACACCATACAAAACAGAAAGTTAGTTTACTTCGGACACATCATGCGTAATGATATATACGACTTCTGCAGTTGATTCTACAGTGCAAGATTAAGGGTAAGAGAGGCCCTGGACGTAGACGTATATCCTGGCTCGCCAATCTTGGGAAATGAACTGGTCTAACGTCAACTGATCTATTTCGAACTGCTGTGAATAGAATAAGATGGGTAAATGTGGTCACCAACATCACAAGAAGATAGGCACATTTAGAAGAAGAAGAATAAGGGCTAGAAAAATAGTTAGTTGGAATACATGTCGACACATTCATACAGTGCATAGTGTCAAAAAAGTTATAAACGGAATTATGCTAGAAAATACACTAGAAGCAAGACAACAAATAAAATATTGTTATCAGTAGAGTCGCATCTGAAACTATTGAAGACCGAGAACTGAAAGAGCAAAGTACAAAAAAAAAACAGCAAAAGTATTAATTTTTGTACTTGTTAAACACTTAAGCCGAATAATAATTGCAAACAGATGTTTTCATGGTCTATTAAAGTACTTAGATAACAAACGTATGTCTCAAAAAACTCGTATAAGGCTGTATAGCAAACTTATAGTCCCCGTTCTCACATATGGATCAGAGGCATGGCTAAGTAAAACAGATGAATCCGATCTATCGGTTTTTGAAATAAAGGTGCTACGCAAGATATTCGGAGCGGTCTGTGAGAACGGAATATGGAGCCGTAGATATAACTTTGAACTGCAGAATCTCCACAAGCATACGTTTTGTGGTAAAGATATTACCACTGTAATTAACCGAAACCGGCTGCAGTGGGCAGGACATGTAGCCCGGACCCCTGAATGGAACATGATAAAAAGGTTCCAACAGCGCAACCCGTGGGAATGGGAAGACGGGGTAACACAAGATGCCGAGAAGATCGGAGTCGGAAACTGGAAAATGCAAGCAGGCGGACCCCTGAATGGAACATGATAAAAAGGTTCCAACAGCGCAACCCGTGGGAATGAGAAGAGGGGGTAACACAAGATGCCGAGAAGATCGGAGTCGGAAACTGGAAAATGCAAGCAAGGGCGTAGAAAGTTCTTGAGAAGGTCGAGGCCCTCTACGGGCTGTAGCACCAAGATGATGATGATAATGACTTAAGTGTACCAAAACTACTTTGTTATTTAATTAATTTTTATAAAATTTGTACCAGTTATAAAGTGACCATCACCGTATTTATTAAATTGTAGTCTTTGAGAGTTAAACACATATATGCAACAATAAAAGCATGATAACACACAAAGAAGATGAAATGAAGACAATGTTATATATACGTACCGCATTCCAGGAAAACCTTCCTTATGAGTGACCCTTCCAACATCCTGTGATGCCCTTCGGGACCTGTGATCCAAGCAGAAAACCAAGAATGAGGCGAAAGTAAAAAAATCATGCATTTTAAAAAATAAATAAAAAAATGTCATGCAATAGTTGTTGAATATGAGAGATTCAAAAATGAGTTTTGAACAATAAAAGATAAAAAATGAGTGATTGATTGTTGTTTGCATCGTTTGATTTTTATATAATTTTATTAACACTAATCTACTACTCAATATAATCTAGCAGATGTTTCCAAATGTGGACGTTTATTAATAATAAAATTCGAGTCAGTGGGTTCCTAACAAAACCGATAACACCTTGGCTTGTATGTAAAAAAATTATCCCTCTGGATATTATGTTTTTTGTGCATAATTCAATATAAATTATAAATACTTTTAAGTTTTGGTCATATTGTTCAGTAAACCGTACGTTTTTTTTTACATATTTTGAAGAGAAGCCACATGTGCTACTCGCAAATATATAAAACAAAGATGTAGTATGGCTGCGTGAAGCCAATGCGGCTGCTTATTGTTTTAATGGTACAAGGTCGAACAATCAAACATGTAAACGAAAAATTCGGCATTTGCGTTGAAAACGGTTATACCTACAACTCAACAGTTTATTGTGTACAAGACACAGTAGAAGGTAAGTCGTCTTATCTTATAATATCTTATAATTATATATCTTATGTCTGAAAATATAGTTCTTACACTGGCATAAGATTTACTGAACAAAGGAAGCACTATTTATACCGACAATTACTACAGCAGTATTTCCTTAACTCATTCATTATTAGAAAAAGAAACTCATCTGGTGGGAACACTGAGAACTAATCGAAAATTTAATACAAAAGATATTATACAAACTCAATACTGGAATAGTAATTCAAAAATGGAAGAACAAACGTGATGTTTTGACATTGAGAACAAAACATACTTCAGAGCATCTATATGTTACCTCTGGACGCAAGCAAACGGAAAAACCGTCCACTGTTGTTAAGTATAATAATCATACAGCTTTTATTGACACACATTGACATACATTGAACAAGAAATAATGCCAAAAGAATGGAGTGGCTGTATTATCGTGCCAATACATAAAAAAGGCAGAAAGGATACATGTGGCAACTACAGGGGAATCTCACTAATCGGTACTACATATAAGATATTAGCTTCAGTTGTACTAAAACGATTACTGCCATATACAGAGGAAATTATTGGCGATTACCAATGCGGGTTTAGGCCTGGAAGATCAACAATCGACCAAATATTTACTATCAGACAAATGCTAGAAAAGTATTGGGAATATAATAAAGAAGTACACCAGATCTTCATAGATTTCAAACAAGCATATGATTCCATAGATCGCTTAAAACTGTGGAGTGCAATGATGTAGTTAGGCGTACCAAAGAAGCTGACCATGATTGCGCGAATGTGTGTCAACAATTCCTTTGCACAAATTAGAATAGGAGGCAAAACTTCAAAGGCTTTCGGCATAAGCACCGGGCTCAGACAGGGAGACCCGCTGTCCCCATTACTATTTAACCTAGTATTGGAATACGCAATGCAAAAAATCTATACCAGAGTCAAACCAGACATAACTGCCAGAGGAGCAAAGATTATTCTCGCATTTGCAGATGATGTAGATGCAGTAGCACAGACAACACTGGAAGTTAAGGATATAATATCGAACTTTGAAGAAGCAACACTAAGCGTAGGCCTGAAAATAAACGAAGAAAAAACTAAATACATGGTCGTATCAAAAAAGGAACGACAGCGAATAAGACAAAACATTACCATAAACGATCATAATTTTGAGGTGGTTAAAGAATTCAAATACCTAGGAGCAACAATTACCAGTGAAAACACAGGAGAACGGGAAGTTGAAATGCGAATACTGGCGGGGAATAAATCATTATTTGCCACTCAACATCTAATGAGGTCAAAGGTTCTCTCAAGGCGTGCCAAAATCCAAATGTACAAAACCATAATACGACCAGCAGTGACATATGGAAGTGAAGGGACAGCGTGACAAATGAATGGAGGAGCAGATATAACAATGAAATAGAGACTCTCTTCGGGAAAGGAAACATCGTAAGATACATAAAAGCCAATAGATTAAGATGGGCAGGCCACGTGGTACGGAGTGATGACGACAGACTGATTAGCAATGTGTTTTGGGAAAGACCAGATGGTAGAAGATCGACAGGAAGGCCTACAAAAAGGTGGAAAGACACAGTCAGGGAAGACCTGGAGAAGATGGAAGTAAGGCCATGGGAAATAATAGCACAGGATCGGAATCAATGGAAGGCAATAGTAAACGCGGCAAAAACTCACGAAGAGTTGTAAAAGCCAATGATGATGATGATGATGTTTTATTGACATATCTGATCAGATGAAAGCTAATGCTACTTCTTTAAGACGAGGCGTGAAGTGGTTAATGAAATTAGCTGTCGAACTTCTTATTGGAACATCATTAGTGAATGCTTTTGTAAAACATCATTTATACTACATCAGCACGTTACGAATGACAAGATGACCATTATTAAATTTAAGGAACTTGTCAAGTTGGAATTTTTTCAAATACAAAATACAAAGCATTATCGTCGTAATGAACCTCCATTGCTGCAGCATGTGTTAGAAGATATTTGTCGAAATGAAAGACGCAGATGTGTTGAATGTTATAAAAATCTGAGTGTAGCTGGTGGTCAAACAGAAGCCCAAGAAAATTCGCCATTCACACAATTTGGATGCAATATTTGTCAAAAAAGTTATGTTTGCTTATTGCTTGTATTGCTTATCTTGTTTCTTTGCAGTTCATCAGTGTACTAAATATATGTACTTTTTTTTCGCTTAGATTTATTGTGTTTAATAATTTTAGTTAAAACATCTATCTATCTAATTAGCCTTCTTCGGCCCATCTTTGTACATAGGCCTCCCCAATCCTTTTCCATTCTTCTCTGTCTGTCGCTACAGTCATCCATCTAGAGCCCACGTGCTTCTTGATATCATCTGCCCATCTCATTTGGGGCCTTCTTCCTCTGCTTCGTTTATATTCCGACGGTCTCCAACTTATAAGAATTTTGTTCCATCGGTCTTCTTTTTGTCTTATATTGTGTCCGGCACATCTCCATTTCAATTTTGCAAATTCTTGTCTAACATCCCTCACTTTTGTTTTCTCTCTTATCCACTCGTTTCTCTTCGTATCCATTAGTCTTATGTGCAAGATTTGTCTTTCCATTGCTCTTTGGGTTTTTATGATTTTGTCCATGTTTGCTTTTGTAAATGTCCACGTTTGAGAACCATAAGTAAGAACAGGGAATACGCATTGATTATATACTTTGGTCTTAAGATGCTGTGGATATCTTTTGTTTTTAAGAATGTAGCTTCGTTTGCCAAATGCCGCCCATGCCAGTCTAACTCGTCTCTTGATCTCTGCTGCTTGGTTCACTTTGTTAAGTTTTATAGTTTGACCAAGATATATATAATCCTTAACTTGTTCTATTTCATCTTGCCTGATTCTCATTGTGATGTCTTCATCTGTATTTGTTATAGTTTTGGTCTTGCTGTAATTCATATTAAGGCCTATCTTTCCGGCTTCTACGTCCAGTTCTTTCATCATTTCAAATAATTCTTCTTTTTTATCGGTTATCAATACGATGTCATCAGCGTACCTTAGATGGTTCAAGCGTTGTCCACAAATTTTTATACCTTTTTTTTCCCAATCTAATCTTTTAAAAGTATCTTCAAGAGCCTGATTGAAAAGTTTCGGTGATATTGTATCACCCTGTCTCACGCCTCTACTTATTTGTAATGATTTTGTTCCTTCATATACTTTAATTGTTGTTTTGGATTCCTTATATATATTGGTTATTAGTTCCGTATATCTGTGGTCAATTCGGCTGTTAATCAAAGAACTTTTCACTGCCCAATGTTCGACAATGTCGAAAGCCTTTTCGAAATCTATGAACGCCATATGTAGAGGAATGTGGTATTCATTTGCTCGTTCTATAAGTATTTTCATACTTAGTAAATGGTCACTTGTGCTGAATCCCTTTCTAAAACCAGCTTGTTCTTTCCACTGGTATCCATCGAATTTTGTCGTTAATCTATTGGTTAAAATTTTTGTTAGGAGTTTATACATAACATTGAGGAGTGTTATAGGACAGTAGTTTTTTATATCTGCTTTATCCCCTTTCTTGTGTAGGATAATGGTTACTGATTCCTTCCAGTTGTTTGGGATTCTTTTTTCTTTTAATATCCTGTTAAAAAGGGAATGTAAAGTATTAATTACCACTTTTCCACCATATTTCAGCATTTCTGCAGTTATTCCATCTTTTCCAGGCGATTTGTTGTTTTTCATTTCTTTCAATGCCTTCTTTATTTCTGATTTGCTTATTTCGGGCTGCAGCTCTGAGTTGACATTTTTTATTTTGACCTTAAGTTGGTTTTTAATTTCTTCTGGTAGTTCCTTTTTTGTTTTATATAATTCTGAGTAGAAATGGTGGATTATATTTATGATGTCATCTTTAACGTTTGTTTCTATTCCATTTACATCTTTTATTTTGTTTATTTCAAACTTACCTAATTTCGGCCTTAAGCATTTCATATTTTTGTTGTTTTGTATTACTTCTTCTATTTTTATTTCTTGTTCTTTTCTCTTATTTTCTTTTATCATTCTGCTTATTGTTTTATTAATTTCTACATATTCTATAGATTTCCTTTTGCCTTCTTCGTTCAGCTTCATTCTTTTATCCATAAGCTTCTTTGTTTCTGTTGATATATAGTTGTTCTTTTTTAAATCCTTCTTTGCTATTTCTTTTCCTGATGTAATCATTGTTGTTGTATGTTGTCTATTTCGTCTATATCTTTATCGTCACTGTCTAATCTTTGGGTAAGTTGTTCTTTTAATAGGTCTTTGTATATCTCTTTATATTGCCCTAGTTTGTTTCTATCTACTATATTCCAGTTTCTACTTATTTTTCTTTTCATCTCATAGTTACCGTCAATACTAATTTTTGCTCT